ATGAAAATTGTTAGGAGAAGCGGAATGCTACGGGAAACTGCACGACGGGTAGTAATATCGTCGCGAAAAGGCGTGACTACGGATAGAGAGAAAGAGAGAGAGAGAGAGAGAGAGAGGGGAGGAGCGAGAAAGAGAGGGTGGGACAAGAGACGGAGGTCCAGGAGAGACCTCGTCTTCCGGCTTTTCTTCGGACCGGATAGCACTCGTTCTTTCATCCTTTTTACGTTATCGTCGTTATGTCCGCGCAACGTTGTCTGTCCGTTTGAGCGTCATTCGTGACGGACGAATTTCCGACCGATCAGAGAAAGAGAGGCGATCTAGCGCGCGATCAATGAGACGCGGGAAATTCCGCTCGCGTGGCTCACATGAAGATTGCGAACGAGATACTTTGGAGAGGACACAAAAGTGGCCGCGATTACCGATAATATTCTCGTGAGCGTGATTTTGCGGCGGAGGAATACTCGCGCGAGAGCGTCGAACAAGGACGACGACGACGACGACGACGACGACGAGCGTTTTCGATGAATAAATGGAGGAATGGAGTAGCGCGACGACGGAAATATCCCGACTATTCGCAACGGAAAGTTCAGAGACGAACGGAGGCGAGATATTTTCGTGAGAAGACTGGAAAGCGCGTGAAATGAATACGTCGACGAAGCGATCGCATAGTTAAACAGCCGGCGAGAAATAGAAAGAGAATGAGAGGGGAGGAAAGACAGAAAGAGAACACCAATAGCGAGAAAATTGCGCGCGATTCGTCCAATTTTCATTTTCAGATCGTTCCGCGAATTGATCGTAGATTATTGACCTTTTGACCGCGTAATATACTCGCTGAACAACAGCTCGAAAGACAGCGTCTAATGAATCACCGTCCAATCGCAACGAGCCAATTTGTAGCGCTCTTTCGGTTTCACCGCTGCATTGAGAAACAAGACCAAGGAAAGACATGCGAGTAAAAATAACAAGCGCATTTTTCGTGTTCTCTCTCTCTCTCTCTCTCTCTCTCTATTTCTCGAATATCGCAAACATCTCTCCGTTTGCCTCCGCACTCCCTTCGTTCTCTTCGCCGACCAGCGGATGCATGCAATGGTCGTGCAAGAATCACAAGAATCGGTTTTCGATTGACTCCTCTCTCGACGTCGTACGGAAAGTAAAAATTCTTCTTTATTGACTCAAGTGTGACAAATCGATTTCGCTCTTGCGCCGTGTGCAGATCTGTTTCGGCGCACGGCGCCCGCTGCTCTCTCTCTCTCTCTCTCTCTCTCTCTCTCTCTCTCTCTCTCTCTCTCGGTATCGATTAACGATTTGCCGCCCTTTACCTCTCTTCTCTAACCTCGGCGGACCCCGCTGCACATATTATTTCATCCCGGTTCGCCGATACCGAATCACACACCTTGTTCAATCGTGCACATACTTAGCTCCTAATCGAATATGAAAAATACACGGCACATACACACGCACACACACACAAACACACATACACGCGCGCGCAAAGCAATCACACAGTAAATCGCCAATTCGCCGATTCACTCGCGACACGTCGAATTTTCGCACAACATTCGCGCGCGCGAAGGCGTCACCGAGCATCATCGTGTTTGACTTCCGGCGTGTGATACGAAACGCGTATCCGTCGTTTGTATATGAAATTTTGATCCGTTGCACCGGACAACGTAGTGCAGCCCCGTGGCGGAAAATCGTGATTTTTCCTTTTTTTATCTTCCGGCCGCTCACGTCACGTCTTTTCCGCTCTTGTTTGGCCTTCGTCGCGCAAATCATCCATCATTCGCGTTCTGACTGTCTGTCTCGTTTCCTCGCTTCGGCTTTTTGGATATGTCGATTTCTTTCGTACGTTTCGCCTAGATAAATAGACTGGAAGAGAGGAGAGAGAGAGAGAAAGAGAGAGAGAGAGTGTGCATGTAACATATACACATACTCAATCGTCTGTGTACACAAACATTCGCGTGACGATTTGAAATATGGCACGTATAAATAGGTTGCTATTTTTTTTTGCCGTTTCCCGTGAAATGTGTATTTCTCTCTCTCTCTCTCTCTCTCTCTCTCTCTCTCTCTCTCTCTCTCTCTCTCTCTCTCTTTCTTTCTCCTTCCCTCTTTTACTCGGTAAATTTGACCGAGAATAAGTCTCCTTTCTATATTCTAAAACGTTCATAAAATGGAATATTATAAACATACGCGATTGACCGGCGAATCGGTAAAAGTGAAACAAATCACGTCGGCGGTGGTATCTATTTTCTAACTATTTTCTAACGAATTAGCCCAGTTTATTCGCGCTTAGTGGACAAATGTCTCTTTGGAATGTTCAGCTCGACCCTGTAACACTGCAATTGCGCACGACGGCGGTTACCGTGCAGTTGCTTGCGTAATACTGTTTCTACGTGGCTCCTCCGCGACGATTATCCGCGTGTCATCGGCGACTTTCGACGCCTGAGAGACACGGCTCCGCTCGCTCCTTCTTTCGCTCCCTCGGCGAGAGAGTGAATTCTATGTAAGAAAGTCGTAGTCAAGTGTACAAAAATAGCCGGGAAAGAACCAGCGATCCGATCGCCGTATCTCTCTCTCTTTCCTTCTCTCCTTTCTTCGGCGGAGCCACGCGAACTTAATGCTACGTTAATACCCACAGCGTTGCCCGAAGGGCGTGCTCGAGCGTCACTGCCTCCTGCCCTACGTGTAAAATGCACTCGTAATAATCTACCGTCCTAACGCTAATTAGACGAAATGCCTGGAAGGTAACGCTCTCGCGTGTAATCACTAAAATCGATACCCTGTGTTCGTTCGGCACGATAACTCCTCCATTCGTACATCAATATCGGCCCGTGCCATGTCTCGTTTCTTTTTCTCTCCTTTCTTTTTAACAATCGACCGGCAAGTTTGACCGCGAAGAGACAAATCGCGTCGAGACGACAAACACGGCGCCGAAAGGAGTGGTTTCTTGAGGCTTGTTCCCAGTCTCGTGGATACGTGCGCGAGAAGAAACTTACAACTATCGCTGTACCGTTAATACTATAATGTACCCTGTAGCCGTTTCGTTGTGACTCTAAAGCTACGTATTCACACGGGAGAACACACCAAACTCTCTCTCTCTCTCTCTCTCTCTCTCTCTCTCTCTCTCTCTCTCTCTCTCTCTCGTATCTGTCGTTCGATGTCTCTGCTTTCCTTTTTTCCTTGCCGAATGCACGCGCGCACAATCGTCGGGCCGAAGAAGTGTGTGTATCACGGAACCGTCGAGAAATCTAACAAGGAGGAACACAATTGGGCGCAACGTGTGTCACATTGACGAACTTCCTTTTTCCATTATCGTAAATTATCTCAAGCGCGCTTCACTTCGACGCGCTTCTCTCTCCTCGCGCGAGGGAGAGAGAGAACGGTCGCGCGAAAGCCGCCGTGTGATTATTCCTCGTAGCTTTCTCACCGCAAAGTAGAGAAACGGGTCGACGATGATAAGAGAGTGGGTGGATGGGTGTAGGTGTGGGAAAGGGGAAGACGACGACTCTGCTTCGGCTCGAAGGGAAAGACAGCAGAAAAGCCGGTAGTGTGAAAAACTGTAGGAGAGGGAGACTGAGATATGAGCATGTTTTTTCTCTCCTGGTTGACAGAGAAGACAAGTACAGTAAAAAAAATTATATACATATATATGTATATGTATATATATATATATATATATATACATATATATATATACATATACATATATATGCATGTATATGTGTATATATATATGTATATATGTATGTATATATATATATATATATATGCGTATATGTAACAGGAGAGAGACAGTCTTTTAATCCCGAGCTGGCTGAACGACGAGCAATTAGTTGTAGGTAAATAAATTCTGAACACCCACCTTGCTTCTGCCGGGATCATCGAGAACCTTAAAACGAAGGGACACGAGCGATCCCGCAAATGCGCGCACGGCGCGACATTTCTGCCGAGCTGGCCGTTTGTATCTCTTAAAGATCAGTGTTTAGACCTGTGTCACACACAAGCTCCGCGATGATCGAAAGCGATACGCGAGAGGATCGCGAGTCGAACGAACGGAGACGACCGACACGGGAGAGAGCCCGTGCTCTCCTCCGAATCCGGCGGTGCTTTCCCAGCGGGAGCGTCACTGTCGCGTGTGAAAATCAATGCGCGATCGGCGGTTAATTAATTAGATGCGTATATGTGCGTATACGGTGATCGAGAGTATGCCGAGTGTCCATCGTCATTCTCCATTTGCTCAATGTGAGCTCGCTCGATGGAGTTCGAATTTGCCGTGAAATGTGATTAATTAATCGAACAGCGGCGAGTCCCCGAGTCGTTTGACGTAAATCATTTCGTCCCGACCGACAACTTGCGACATTTTCTCCTTGTTTTTTTTCCGTCTCCATCCCCCTTCTCTCTATATCTTTTCTCCCGTCGCGACAGATTCGCGCGAATTCACGTGATCCGGCTTTCGATTTCTACACTGCGCTTCTCGTCCCGCGACGAAGTCGTACTCGGCGGTCGGTTTCGTTCGTTCGACTGCGCGCTTCGAGTAAGATCGCGCGACAGATCGAGACATCTCCGCGATATTTCGGGATGTATCGAGCGTGAGAACGAAAGAAAAATGGGGAATCTTGTCCCTCTTTTCTGATTTTTTTTCTCTACTCAGTATGGTTCATACGGTCACTCAGCGTGGTTCATACGACGTTTTTCCTTTCTTTTCCTCTTTTCTTTTTTTTTTGGCTTGGTCGTGGTGTGTGGCGGCGGTTGGAAAGACTTTAAATAAATACGTTATATCTCGAGATCGTCTCTCGCGATACTGCGCGCGGCAAGAAGTAGTAGAAGAGGAAGAAGTAGAGGATGATCCGCGCGCTCGCTCGGTCGACGAGCGCGAGGCCGTCATCGTCATTGTCGTTGCCTGTTTGGTCGTTGCCTTCAGGAGAAGCCGTGACAGTTCTCACGGATCTCGAAGTAGAGATTCAGCAGTGCCGACTCCGGCACGTCGTGGAAGCACCTACCCTCTGGCCACTGCACGCAAACTGCAACAGACAAAACAGACGGATATGTTTCGTTACATGTTTTCTCGTGTCTTGTAATTTCTTTTCTTATGTTTCTTCGGCGAGTTTGCGAAACTTGCGTATTCCTTCGAGCGCTCGAAAAATAGAGCGACAACCGAGTCAATCGAATGACATTTCACTCATATGGAGTGCATTTTCTACCTTGAATCGTCGAGTCTTTTCGTTTGAAATTGAAAAACGAATTCCGTACATTCCATAGTTTCTCTGAAACATTTGCTTGTGTGAATCAATAATTCACTTCAAGTTTCAGCTTGATGTTCGCACTCGTGATTCAGGGTAGATAGATATACTGAGCGGAAAAAAAAGAAAAAAAAAGAAAAAACGGTTGAGCTCACTAAAACTATCGTCATTTTTGCCATCAATTATGTTTCTCTCTCTTTCCAATAAAAAAATAACAGTAACGTGCATATTGAGTTATCGTCACTAACAGTACACAGCAGCACTTGCTACAAAGCGCTTCTCCCTTTGCTATGCGATTACTAGAATTATAAATATCAGGATCTGTCTTTTCAGTATATTTCCGAAGTTGTCGCTTCGAGCAAATTTTCTCTCGTTTCAACTGAGAGCTCAATCCAAGAAACTTTGAGAGTTGGAGGAGATCCTGCTGCGCGAAAGAGCCCTTCGTAGCGCGATCGCGCGCGCGCACAGCTGGCCGATTCGTTGCCACGAGAATGCTTCCCAGTCAATCTGGTGAAACTGTTCTATTCGTCGCGCGACTGGTGAAGATAATTAATGGGATATTTAGCGGTGTTAGCAATTTCCCGGCGTGACACGCTAACGGAACGTACATGTGCACATATATGTGTGTGTGTGTGTGTGTGTGTGTGTGTGTGTGTGTCTAATTTGAATTAAGCTGAAAATACCGCCATTAACAGTTTGCCAATTAAGAACGTTCCGATTGGTGGTGAAATAAATCTGGCACGCCGCGCGAAGAACGATCGACGTAACTGAAATTAAAATTTTCATACGGCGTGAAACGCACGCTGCGTTGCTACATATAAAATTGTCGTATAATTGGAAACAATCGTACGATTCGGCGTGAACAACGTGACGGCGCAAAGTCTCACGAACGAGCGAGAAAGAGGGGATAGAAGAGGGCATGTTCGATTAATATCAATTCAAGCGGTCGGACGAGGGGCGATTCCGCGGACGGTCAACCCCACGGCTGTGATTAAAGCAGCCGTTTTTATTAGCCGTAAACCGCACTAATAATCGTTGGGCGTGGTCGATTGATTGCCGCCGAGTTTTTAGGGCTCAAGGGTTGCAAAGCGCACGTAGCATATACCGCAAGCGCATTCTTCCTCGTGACCGTAAATTCTACCTGGCATTCTTTTTCGGATGAGAATGGGGAAGGCGCTTCAACATAGCAAATTATTTGTGTGTTGAAAAGGGAGAAAAGAAACATTCACGTGCCGCGAGGCAACATCAATTTCGAGATTTAGCCGGCGCGTCGAGAGAGAGAAAGAGAGAGAGAGAGAGAGAGAGAGTATCTCTTCCACATTATTAAATATTAAATCTCGAATATTAAAAAAGAGGAGGAAAATGAGATATTAACCAAGCTAATCTGTTATATTCAATATTAATCGAGCCGAGATGCGTTAACCGAACACTCGAACGCGGAAATATTTTCCTTTGGCGATTTCCCCTTTACACGAGACTTTACACGAGAGATGCCGATTACGTCGCGCGATATCGTAAAGTTCTTTGCTTTGCGATCGTATTATCGTGTACCGTATGCTGATCGAAGAACAGTCTATACGGGGAGTACGTAATACGGACGGAAAGTGGATTTTACGTTCGCAGGGCTAACCGATCTCCTCCTACGTAATTGGCCGCAGGAATTATGTAACAGGAAGATTGGCTCCATCGAACGGCCAGTCGCGAACGAACGAACGGAGGGACGAAGGAACGAACTATCGACGGCGCACTTTCCTCGTCTTATAAAACCCGAGATTGCAATTTTCCTCGTGCACCCGCGCGCGCGCGCGCGCGCGCACGCCGATTTTCTTGCCGCTGGCCAGATGAATAAAGGCGGGGACGAGTCAACTTCGGCGTTGAACGCTTGGTGATTTATGGGACACTTTTTTCGGGATTATGTACATGGAGGTGCTGGAAAATCGAATCGCTCTCTCTCTCTCTCTCTCTCTCTCTCTCTCTCTCTCTCTCTCGTGGAGACACGCGGTCGTTCGCACGGTTCCGCGAAAAATCCTCCTAAATATCGTCGATGATAACGATCGATGCCCGCACGCACGCGCGCATCCTGCGTGTATCGCAATTGTAAGCACCTTCGATCAAATCCGTTTCTGATTAATTGGTAACTTAATGCCCTCGTATAATTAATTGCGAGATAACTGGCGACACTATTAGTATCCGCATGCGGTATTACGGAAAAGATCAATACGTTCGTTATATTATTTGAACGAACGAACAGAGCTCAAATAACATCTTCGATAAATACGTTCGATGTACGAACAAACGCAACGCTCATATCAGATTTTTCGCTCGACCAATCAAACATTCCGTTAATGAATTACCACGTACAAGTTTAAATAAGGTAGGAGAATGTTTTTCTCAGCACAAAAGAATGCGTGGCGTTTGACAACAGTGTTTATCGTGTCGTGTTAAAGTCGGCGCAGGTGCGTGGATGATTAAATTATTAAGCTTTCTCTCTCGCTATCCCGTTCTCAACTGGATAATTATGATTTGAACAATTGATACATAAATTAACGACGCAACGTTATGCTGAAAAATTTATCGAAAAAATTTTGTGCATATTGTTTCGATAAGAGCATACGAGGGGGCGCACATCGCGCGCCAGCGCGAGCGCTCGTGTTTCGCCAAGAAACGTCATCGCTTAAATGTTTGCTTATCTACGCGCTACTTGGGTCGCCTAATTACGTTTATTACGTTATTACGTTATTGCTCGAATGAATATATGAAACAGTAACGTCATCCAAAATTACGCCGAATATATAGGGTGTGACAAAAATTTTTACTGCTCCAACGATAGCTTTGTTTAATTTTACGTAACCAAATACGTTCAAATGATGAATGTCCCGTCAACTAATATTACGTCGTAATATAACGTCGAGAAATCGAACATGAGAACCTCCCAGGCGTTACCGCCGACGAATATTTGCTGGCGCACGCTGTGCGCCAACGCGAGCACTCGCGTTCCTCGCAGAAACGTCATTCGCTGTTCGCTTCGTTTGTTTACGCGCCAATTCAACCGAGTTAATACCTTCATCGTTACTCGAACGTGTGCGTAAAGCAACATTTCCGTCGAAATTAGCGACTATACGGGAATATACCGTGTGTCAACGTTTTCACAGTCACCCGCGCGACCGATCGTGCCACTTTAAACGTGATAGGTCGACACACGCAAGCTCGAGCGAGGGAGACGCGCGATTTTTTTTTTCGCCAGGTATAAAATTCCTCAGATGTACTTCGGTATCTCGCGTTGGTCCATCGTCGATTGTACTCAGCGGTAAATGCGCTTTAACGACGCGTGATCTACGTGCGCGCAATCGGACGCGCGATTTCGCGTTTGCTCAGTGACGGACGAGGAATCCAGCGGGGCAAGATTGATTGCGCGATTGCGTGCCTCGCGACTGTATCTCCAGCAAAGCAGCTGTAATGAAACGGAAGGTGGCGAATTACTCGCCCCCTTCGCCCTCGCCTTGTCCTCTCCTCTCGTCCTCATCGTCGTCCTCCCCCCTCTCCCCCTCCGTTCCCTCGTCGTCGTTGTTTCTATAGTTCTCGCGACTGTGAGCCGCGCCGGTATCGCGTCGTGGATGAGCGGAATACGATACACGACACTCTATGCGGTATCCATCAAGAGTCCCTTCCCAAGAGTAAGGAAGTGCTTATCTACGTCGAATTTAACCCCGATTTTTGCGCGATCCGCGATGCCGATTCGGCGCGGGCTGACGCCGCTATGTAAATCGTGCAGGATCTACACAAAAGCTTGGAAGCACGATAGCCGATCTGGAGTAAGGCGGGATCTAAAGCAGGGCCGAAGAGTCAGGGCCAAGAATCCAAGCGATCGACGTGCCCCGTCGTGTTCACGGTGCATGAACATAGACTGTATACTCACTCAAGTACATAGACTGAGCGCTTCGCGCGAGAGGCTGCGTGCGAAGACTGTATCCGAGAAGAATAGCCTGTACCGTACACATTCGATCTTTGTCTCGCTTCATTCTCACGTGGGAAAAAGGGAAGACGGAAGGGATGTAGCCCTGGCCTATTATATATCTCGTCTTGAAATCTCCCTCTCGTAAGGAGGCGCGTACAGTCTACGTACACAAGTTTACGCTTACCGACCGTCCGGACGCGAAGCTCTCGACACGACACGAGGCGGAAATGAACAATCATCGGTCCTCCGATAGGTGATTAGCGCTTGCGGAATTGAATGATAACACGGCGGGTGCTAAGAAGAAGCGGCGATCGATTCTCGTCCTCGCGTGTGTACGACCGTCTCTGAAATCGCGGGGTTCGGAATCTGCGGCTGCGTGGTAAACTCGGGCGACTTGCGTCGCGAATTCTCGAGTTCTTCTTCGGTGCGGTTTGCAACGCAGATTGCAATCGCGGCGGTGTACCCCGGCGCCGCTCTTAATTAAAAGCGGGTGTACGCTGTTATTAAGATGAAAATTTCACGGAATAATTTGTTGTCGCTGGTATTAAACGCTCCTCCTCGGAATAAGCGCCGGCACAAGGCCGGCGAGTTCGGTTAATCGTAATAAAAAGCTCGGGCTGCGAGCACCTCGCGAGTAGTTGGCGAACTTGCCTTCTTCGCTCTCCGCTCGGTCGTTCATGGGAAAAAGGTCCTCTTCAGTGGCGCGACGGCCGTGTTGGTTTGGGATTTAGGGGTTGCAAGGAATGAGCGCGTGTGAACGCGAACATGCGCCTTGCAAGATCACGGGGATGATGAATTTACGGTCTGTGGGAGAAATTAATTCGAG